AGATTGCCTTGCCGCCGCTTGTCGCAATTAACAAAGTCAAGTCAATTATTTTGCTGCGCCTCGCGACTTTCGCACGTGCGTATGGGGGGTCCTGCAAGGACTCTTTTTTTTTTTTCATTTAACCAAGGTGCTGACAGCAAGGCTGTTGCTTTCTCAGCAGCGGGAGCCGGGCGACGGGCGTCGGGCGTCGCTAGTCGCCTTCAGTAGTGCGTGAGAACGAGAAGGCGACGCCGGCGACAGCACTCCAAAAACAGGAGCAACAGCGGGTAACTAAATTCATATTCATCAATTCCACTCAATCTGAAGAGCTGCGCCTTGGGTTACGCATGCGAATCTTGTGCTGCTTCTGTTTCTCCCTTAATTCTCATTTTTTACATATGCTAGTCAATTTACAATTGGATGATTTTTCCTTAGCATCAAGATTCTAAGATTTCACGTTTAATTGTTTACCCTGTGACTGTTCGATAATCCAAATATTTGTACTTAGCTTTAAAGACAAGTTCGTTTTTTTCTTCTCCCCTTCGTCTTAAAGCTTTTCAGATTTATTTCTCAATTCTTTATGCCAGAATATCAGATTTTGGGAGAAAAACTCCACTATCCACTTTTACAATAAAAAGCCAATTCAGGTAGCTTAAAAGCTTGCAAAACAAAAACAGCTTATATCAAGCTGATGGCTGTCAGAACAAGTCTGCAAGACTTTAAGAAAATCATGGCCTTTAGTGAAATTACAGAAATCCATTAAGAACTGTAATCTTTTTAAAGGAATTTTAGTTCGGGCATAGGACCTCAGCAGGATACCCAATTTACCTAAGAAGTCGCAGCTTCTAACCACTTTTTCGACATTAATTGGAAGATGTCGAAAAGTTAACGTAAACATTTTTTTAACCTTCGAATTTGTTGTGCATTTCGTTTAAAAGTCATCTGTCTCTTTTGCTCTCATTTTTTATGTTTAAATAAATTTGCAGTTCTTATTAAATATAGATTTTCTTTAATTTAATTTACTTACCGCATCCAAATTTGAATACGCGCGCCGTAGGCAGTGCAGAGGAGTCCTCAACGGAATGCGCTGCTTATCATAAAGCACGGCGCACTGCTTGCATGTATTTTGAACTGCTTGCATATGCCTAAGAGTATGCTATGGTTAAATACAAAATTTGAATATACTCCATTGAGATACATGAAATTCAATATAATATGTAAAACAACTAGCAAATTACATGAACTAAGTTTACAATAATCCTATATTCTTATTTATTTTTAATACACATGTAAATACGTACAGAAAAATGTATTAGTAGGAGGGGAGTTAGACTTTGTGATGTATACACATCAATAAAAGAAGAAAGCAAGTCAGAGTTAGACGAGGGCAAAGAAAGCGAAATAAATTGAGAGAGAGAATTAAGTTCAAGACATTTACTAAAATGAGAATTGATAATATATGTAAGATTAAGTACATTACTTATTAAAATATATAATAATACATGTGTTTGCAGCGCAATGGAAATCTTATGATATTAGATAATGTGCATGCATATATAAATATATATATATATGTATATACATAAAAATGCACAGTATCTCTATATATAAAACTGTTTGTCCTGGACTGACTGACTGACTGACTGACTGATTGGTGATCAGCGCACAGCCCAAACCGTAAGAGATAGGAAGCTGAAATTTTCACTGTAGTTACCTTATGTGATGTAGGTGCACGTTAAGACGGGGTTTCGGGAAATTCCACTCGCAAATGTGGAAAAATCGCGAAAAACGTTTGTATGTAACTTTTTTGTTTACCATCCGATCGGCCCCAAACTTATTTTCAAAGATCTTTGTTCAAATTCATTTGATGGGTGTTTCGCACTTTTCGGAAAACCCATTCCTCCTTGGTGGAAATGGAGGTCAAAGATTTGGTGGGTGACGTTTTGTGTTCAAATTTATTTCCAAAGATCTATAAGAAAAATCATTTGAGACGTGTTTCACATTTGTCGCAAAATCTAAATCCATTCGGTGGAAAATGCATTTCAAAGATTTTTTTGGTGAATTTTAAGTTTTGTCCGATTTGCATAAAAGTTGTTTGATTCCCGTCCGATCGTTTCAAAATCATTTTCAAAGCTTTTTGAAAACATTGATTTTATAACATACGTGCCACGAGCAAGGCCGGGTTATACCCGCTAGTAATATATATACATGCACACCCGGATTTGCATGCACACACACACATAAAAACATAAACAAAAATCAAGTTAGTTATGTAGATTGCCAACAGAACTTGATAACGTAATACTCACAAGCAAAGCATGAAAGCCTGTAGTCCTTTCTTGAGTTTGTGAGAATCGCATAGAAGGGTGCAGAAGCTTATTGCCCGTTATGTGTTCATGAGAATGGCATGGAAGGGCGATCATTATCATAGACTTATTCTCTTTGTGATAACATTGTTTTTCCCCAGGTATTGACTAGAATTACATCGAATCATAAGCAAAAGTTTATTATTTTTGGGATTACAACGTTTTTCCGACCATGTATTTATGAGAATTGCATAGAAAGGCGATCATCAGCATAAGTTTATTATTCTTGGGATTACATAGCATTTCCCATTGTGTATATGAACATGTAAATCAGAGTTTAACTACAAATCTGCCATTTTTACGTCCTTTGGCTAACACAGAAAAGAAAACAAGCAGCCACTCGAGGATGATACAAGTTTCCGCTTGGCAACCGCACCTATTTCCAATCCATCTGCCCCCATGCGGAAACCTTTCGTTTCGCTGCGCAGCCCTCAGTGCTCCATTCATCGATTCATTCATGAAGCCTGGCCGGGAACTCCTCTTTGTTTACCATAGTAAATACGAGGCGCGTAGTAAAAGTAGCGGCAAGCGGCGTCTTAACCCAGTCGAAACGAGCCAGAAAAATCGAAAAAAAAAACTGAAAAAAAAGAAGAAAACATCTGTCGCGGCAGCGTTAAAAATCCGGTTGCAAGCTGCAACATGGCCAAAGATGAGGCCAAAGTACGAGTTATACGCAGAACATATGATTGAGTTCCCAAAAAAAAAAAAATAAAACAAAATGCACCTTTTGTGCGTTTTGGAGCAGCAGCTGCTGAGAGCTAAATCCTCGACATCATTGTGAATGTGGCTGCCGCCTGTTGCTTGGCTGCTGCGGCAACAACAATGCACCAACACACACATGCCACAAGTTGTTGTGCCTACGAAAAAAAAGCAACTACAACAACAAAACAACATATTGATGAGCAGGACGAGTATCTCATTTTCTTGTTGTTGTTGTCAGAAGGAAGCAGGCACATTAAATTTGGAGTTTGTCGTTCAACTTTGTTGAGCCAGCAGCTGTCGCTTGGGCTTAAATAATACCAAAGGGGCTCGCTGCGAATTTGTAGATAGGTCAAGTATTAAAGGATATCGCTTGGGGAGATAGATCTATAATGAACTAATAAACATACCAAATACCTAAACATGTATACAACCCTCCACAAGGGTATAATAAATTCGAGCACTGCTTTTCCATATTCATTTAATTTAATATCTTCATTCGTTTTCCTATTATCTTATCCGATCACTCTTTATTTTTTAAAGCACAAAAAGAGTTTTAATTTTTTTCGAAATAAATTATGCATTTATTAAATGAGTGTTGCAGAAATATGGCTTGGCAATGTTTTTATACGTAAGCTTAATCACATATCGATTTTAATAAAGTTTTGGAGATTAATTTATTTTAAGAGTGAAGCTTGTAATAGCTGAGCTGAGCGTTGGGAAGGGATCTAGCTAGCTATATGATAGAGTGCTCAGATGTTGCTAAGATTTTGTTTTTACATAACGGAGCATAATTGAACTAATCATTGCCAAATTAGCTCAAGATATCTTAGAAATCAAAAAACTATTTTCACATATGATATAGTAGACCGATCGAAGATATGCAGTGCCTGCAACAAAAAGACGAACCTAAGCAAAGTTCCATGAAGATGACCATAAAACTGAGAAACTAGTTGCATAGCAACAAAAAGAAGGACATGGGCACAGCGACTCGACTGTTGATTCTGATCAAAAATATAACTTTACTTATGTATATACTTTTTAGATTCGGAGATGTTTCCTTTCATGTTTTAGGCATTGAGGTAAGAAAAGTTGTAATAGAAGCCAGTTATAACGAGACAACATTCTTTGCAGTTAATATTAATTTGTGAACTTAGCCTAACTTTTTGAAATCAAAATTTCTTGTAAAATATTTCATTTTTATACAGTTTTTATGACCAAAAAATAGATCCTTTTCTATATGATTAAATTGATTTGTTTAGATGAGTAAAAGACATAATTATTGAGATATCTAGCTTTTTAAAATCGGTTCAGAATTCAAGTTGTGGCAAACTCAAACCCCAGAAATTGCAAAAAACCTTTTTCGAAATTTAGAAACTTTAAGATAAAAAAGCAAAAAGTCAAAAACCCATTACAATATTTTGAAAAATTTTATAAAAATATTTTAAAATCTCTTATTGTTATTATGGGCCTTAAAATATAAAGACCTTCAAAAGAATATAACTCTGTTGCACAGTGTTATTTCGCTCAGTGTAGTCGAGCAACAACAAAGGCGAACAACAGCAGGCAGCAAGGTAAAAGGAGTGGCAGGCAGGCAGGCACAACAACAACAACAGCAGAGAGCAGATGGATATGCCCAAACAGCCCAGCGAGAGGCGCTGCCTGTGCGAGCGACGTCGACGGCGACGCCGACGCCGAAGCCGAGGTTGAGGCAGCGACCGAGTCGGCGGCAGGCAACACTCGTGAGAGTTGCTGCCGCATTCGAAAATTGTGCGTGCAACGCGAAGGACGTTCAACGGTGGAACGGTTGTTGTGCATGTTTTTTTAGTGCCCGATTTGATTGTTGTTGTTTTTGTTGCCACCCCGTGGCAAGCAAGCAGGGCGCACCGTGTGACGTCAGTATCGAGAAAACGCGACACATTTCCGCGAAAAGCAAAGTGACGAAACACACAGACAGCAGAAGAAAATATAATATAACGTGTATTAAATAGAATCATGTCTGCGAATAATCAAGCGGAGCCAGCGGCCGCGATGGCAGCGGCGGCATCTTCGTCGGCGGCATCCGCCGCCTCCGCCTCGGAGTACCTGAAACGCACCTGCCTCATCTGCGGCTGCCAAACAAATCAGACCATCAACATCTATGAGCCGCGCTCCGGACCAAATATCGTGCAATTAATTCAGGCCAAATTCAAGTTTCAGGTATGTTCCATGCAGCAAAAACAAATACAAAACAAATAACAAAAACTCAGCCCAAAACAAAAATCGATAAGCGGACAAAATGAGTCATGTGCACACAATAACGTCCTTCGTCTCGCCCTGTGTGTGTGCTTACGTGTGTGTGTGCGTGTGTTTCTGAAAAGAGGGATGAAATACTGTGTAAGCTTAGAGGCGCAACCCGCCCAACCCACTCTCCAGGTGGCTGCAGCATCCAAGCGTGTGCACTTGAAAGTCGCGGCGAGCAGGCCGAGAGAAAGGCTAGGTAGGGATCCTTCGGAGAGATTCCAGAGGAGTAAGAAGGGAGGGGGTGCACAGAAGGTTATGGGAGTTCAGCCAGCAATAACCGGAGTAAGGGTGGATGGCATAGCAGCTAAAGGAATTCGCAATTGTAAGTTTCGGAGAGTGGCCGATTGGCGGGGAAGGTAAAGAGGTCAGAAAGAGGAAGAAAGGCCCCGGACCTGGGTTACCTAACGCAGCTCAAGGGTGTTACCTAACGCAGCTCAAGGGTGTATGTGCGAGGTTCGGGAATCAGGGAGGACACATAGAGAGATTCATATAGGGACCTAGGCTCAAATTGAACTCTCCAGTTGAAAGTCTAACCGATTAGTAGCTATGTGTAAGGAATCAGGCAAGCTGAGTAGGTTCTAGGTTCTAGGAAAGAAACCATCTCTTTCGTATAGAGTATGGACCTTGGTAGAGAACTACTTATAAGACTCATAGAGAAGTTAATTAATCAGAATAAGGGAGCTGCTTCCTTATAAAAAAAGAAATCCTAGAGGAGACTAGAATAGATGACAAAGAAGGTAAACTGAGTTAAAGGTTTTCGTCCAGAGGGGTAAGAAATGTTATACATAAAATAGAAGCTAGAAGCTAAGATAGGGTAAGAGCTTATGTTCAGTGGGGTTAACAATTTATGTGAACCCTGAAATGGGTAACATGCAGAAGAAACCATTTTCGACCCCATAAAGTATATATATTCTTGATCAGCATCAATAGCCGAGTCGATCTAGCCATGTCCGTCCGTCCGTATGTATGAAGAACCTATAAGAGCTAGAATTTTGAACGTAGGTCATCGTAGTGTCCTCCTAGTTTATATCCGATAATCGATAACTAGCCTCTTTTCCAATCATTCGCTTAAATTGGTATCGAAATCCTGAGCAACTCTCTGAGTTTTTAGGAGCTGGAGTCCCCAAGTAGCTTTTTGAATAGTATATATAGTTATTTAGATCAATTATATTTCTAGAAGAGGGTTCAGGGCATCCCCTAGTCGGTGTGGTCTGCTCTGTTAACTATATCAGCACAGAAACTAGGCTGGGTAAAGTGTAGTTAGAATGTTTTATAGGTTAACGGAATTCGCGACCCAGTTGAGTGGACAATCGATTGACCAACTGACTGACTAACCAAACCCAACCCAACCCAACTGAACTGAACTGAACTGAACTGAGCTGAGTAACTGCCGCCTTGTATCCGTATCCGGTGTTTGTGGCACTGTGGCATTGTGGGTAACTGGGTAACTGGATAGCAGCTGCTGCATTTCCCTTTTGTGTGTAACTGGACACTTTGCATGTGGCACTTAAATCAATACGCGTCCTTTGAATGTCCTTTCTTTCATAATTTTCAACGGCTTGTTCTAATTTAAATGTACCATGGGAAAATGCGTTGTGGCTGCCGCAAAGTGTGTTGCATATTGGATTACACTTGAGGTTGTTTTCGTTGTTGTTGTTCATGTTGTTGTTGTTGTTGTTGCACGTTTGGGCTACCTGTCAGCGAGAGACTTGAGCAGCTCACGAACCTGCTCCATCAAGCTGGCAGCTGCGACAATTCGTGCATATCTTTTGGGCTAACTCCCCCCTTACCCTCCCCCTCCCTCTACTCCTTCTCCGCTAACTCTTCTCCATTTATGATTGATCCAATTTCTGCGGGTTTCGTCATCTTCTTCTTCTCCAGAGCGCCGAGCAGCCTCTGCTGCTGTCTACTCTTTTTTTCCTCCTTTTTTTTTTGAGGGCTACCTTTTTCAGCTGCTCGCGACAGCAGCTGTATTTGCAGCTCTGCCACACACACACTCGCACACACACTCGCACACACACACATTTACACTCTCTTTATAGAGGAACCCGCATTTACGTGCCCCGAACAACTCTTGAGCTGCTGCTGCTGCTCCTTTTCGCATATCGCAGCTATTGTCTGCGCTCGTTAGGTAAACATTTCTATAGGTAGTTCTTGGAGATTTCCGATTACCTTTTACTGCGCAATCAGTTTGGCAGCTGAAGCACATGTCTAGCTTATCTAACAAAAGGATCGTTTTCTTTTTTATAGATCTCTAAATGATAACAGCTGTAAGATTGTTTTTTTTTTTTACTAGCGACCAATTTGTTCTTAGAGTATTTTACATTGCATACAAATAGATCCCCATATTCCAATTTGTTATCTTTCGAGCTCTATTTCAGCTTAGAACTTCTTTCTGCTTATTTACTTACATTCAAGTTCGTTTTTGTACCAAAACTGTATTTTATAATGTAAAACTAGAAGCCTAATAAGAAAACAAATAGTTCTAATATCATCACCAACAGGTTGGAGGTATATGAAATGGTCAAGGATTATAGGATTATAATTTAAGGGGCTAGAAAACATTCCAACTAAAGTGTTTACTTATCTAAAATGTTTGCAGCCACAATATATCACAACTTATTTAGTCTTCGAGCAGTGGCATATTTTATTGTATTTTTTTTAAAAGATTAAATTATATTTTATAAATATTATTATAATTATATATAATATATATTTTATTTTATTTATTTTTTTTATAAATGTTTATTAATTTTGTTATAAATGTTTATTGTATTGAATCAAAAGTAGCATACATTAGTATTACAAAAAAACGTCTTCAGCTAATTTTGGAATACATATTTCGAATATTGTTAGTCAGGGCTTTCCCTGACTTCTAGACCTTGGCACACTCACTCGCATTTACCCCATATTATTTGTTTAATCAAAAAACTATGTTACTCCTAGATGTCTATATACCTTTCTACCCGAATCGCCCAAAGAATATCTCATATTGAAATAAGATTTAGACAAAGGACACAATATTTGAGTGTGTATTTGGAATATTCCGTAACCAAAAACTTCTCAAGTCTTCGTTACGATTAGTTCCCTCAGCTCTCTTTGGGCTATGCACTTCCGAGTCACTTAAACTGGTTAGTGGGAGCCGCGGGAAACCTTAGAAACAACCACGAAAATATGCCACAGAAAATAAACAGAAAATTAAGTTGAAGGACTTCTTAGCTAGTTTTTGGATAGATCTTCTTGGGTTTCACAGCAGAGCTGTTAATTGGATTGCTGACAATTCAATTAGTTTGTCAAAATATAGAAATGTGATACGGGCTGCTTAGAAGATATGAAGGTAGGCAGTCAAAAACTGTGCAACTAGCCATATATTTTATTAAGTAATGTGAGACGAGTATAAAAATAAAATATGAAATATAAATTATAAATATATAAAAAATATAAATATATAAAAATACAAACGTTACAGAAATGTTTAAAGTGCGCCTAACATTAATGCAACAAAGTAAAAATTGTTCAGTCATACTAGAAGTTCTTAGCATAAAAGTAATTAAATAATAAGTTAAACACATTATAATATATATGCGGAGGTAAACAGATCAAATTTGTGTATCTAAAAATGATATTTGTTTACTTAAGTAGGTTGAACAGCTGCCCATTTGTGTTAATTTTTATCAAATAAAGAGCTCTAAACGGGTAGTCACGGCTTTTAGGATACCTTTTAAGCTGCAAATGTACTTCTTTTGAGCCCTAAATAAATATTAGTTTCAACCTGGCAGGCAATATGAGCTAAGAAAAGAGTATATCTGCGGCACGCCGAAGATTTAATACCCTTGTAGACATTTGGCTTACGATTTGGCAGATATGTGGGAATAATGAAGCTCGTAAATGCTGAAAATATCTTGGAAAACAAAATATGTTGCTGAACAAAAGTTCATCAATTCAACTAATTCTTGCTATAGAGCTATATAATATAGATCTTGATAGGATTTGGCTCATTTATAGGCAGCATAGTTAAAGGAAAGGTCGTATTTAGTCAAGATAGCTTGATAATGAAAAAAGGAACCTACTTTTCTACCAATCATTCCTATGGCAGCTATATGTTATAGTGTTGCGATCTAATATAAAACCCTCTACGGGGCTATAAAAATGCACCCCACTTAGTTTCAGTTGGCATAGTTCACCCCAGGTAAGAGTTAACGATCGTTGCGAGCTATTCGATTGCGGCTATTTGCGCAACTAGCGGCACCACCTGCCGTTTGCCTCCTCTACGAATGCAGCCCCTATATGACACCCCCGCCATAAAAAAGAAAAAAGAGACCTACACCCCGCACAGTCCGCCAAACAAGCTGAAAGCCTGGCATAATGCCTAAATGATCGAATGCCTGAATGACAGCGCCATAAAGCAGCAGAAACTTCAGTTTCAGTCATTCATCTGTCTGTCTTGCCTCTCCCTCTCCCTCTCTGTCTCTCTCTCTCGCTCCCTCTCGCTCACTTTTTATCAGCTTTGCGTGTGGCTCTGTTGTCTGAATTGCACCTGGCCTGCAATTTGCATTATTTTTACCGTTTACACATGGCCCTTTAGGTCGATCGGTTGCTAGGTTCCTTTTTTCTTCGACTGATCCTGCCTGGTTAGGCTGGTCGCCCTCTCTCTCTCTCTCTCTCTCTCTCCCTCCCTCTCACCCTCTCTCGCCCTCTCCCGCTCTATTTAATTCTAAGCAGCTGTCGCTTGCCGCCGCGTGCCTAATGCCATGTTTGGGTTGTTATTATTTTTATTTTTGTTGTTTTTTTTCTTCTGAATCTACTACGGTTCGATAAGAGAGGCGCGTGGCCAAACGGGTTTACCGACCTGGAACTGCTGCTCAAAGCCCGGCCCAGGCCCGGCTCCGCCGTTGCCCCTGGCCCGGGTCTGGTTTTTGAGCCAGCTGCTGGGCGCAATTTTTTGGCTGGCAGGTGCACGAAATATTATTGATACGAGAAATGCGTGAACCCTGCCGCTGCTCAGCTGGTAATTAATATGCCACGGCCTCAGCAGCCGAGACTTAAGTTTTATGTTATTTTTTGCACCTTTACCTCGAGCCAGGCAGGCGGCAGGGGGAGCTCCCGGACCAAGCTGGCCGGCTGGCTCATTAGTGGTCAGTGGTCGTTCAGTCCGTTCCTCGGGCGCAGCTCAGCTTATGTGGTTATGCTTCAGCTGTAATTCCTTGGGCAGGACCTGGACTTAACAGGCATCGACACGGAAGCCTGCGCGGCTCGAGCGTGTCCAATGTTTGCGCTTTGTAATCTAATTTCGAGGCACTTTTTCTAAGCAATTACATTACATTCGATTGGCTGAAAAGGCTGAGTGGTCGACTAGGCAATACCCTATGGTGTTTCATTAGTTTACAAAAATAAAATTATAATATTTACCCTTGATTATTCAAAATAAATTATGTTTTATTTTATAATTTTTTTTTTTATATCTCATTTTGCCATTTTTACAAATACTACTTTGAGCTTAAGAGAAAAATTTGGGAATTCATGCTTTAACCTTGTTGATCATTTACTTCTCCACTTTAAGTCCCCTCTTTTTAGTCCACGTCTAGCTCTGGTTGCAGCTATTTAGCTCCTGCAGCTCTCTTCCTCTCTCTGTCCTTCTCTCTCTCATTGTTTCCCTCGTTTAAGCCCACGTTTAGCTCTAACTAAAGATTATGCAGCTATATCTCTTCTTTATATCTCTCTTATTCTCTCCTTTGTTCTCTTTCCCTCTCTCGCTCCCTCTCTCTCTCTCTCTCTCTTTCTCTCCTCGTCCCTACCTGTCTCTGACTCCAGCTATAGCCCTTTCTCAAGCTCTGTTTCGGCTTTTGCAACTTCTCCAAACTAAGGTCTCCCTGTCTCTCTCTTTCCCACTCCCGCTCTCTCTGTCTCTCTCTTTCTCTTTTAATGAAATATCTCCATCACATCTTAATAATAAACACATCTCCCTATTCAACACATTTCTCTAATCTGTCTCTCTTGGTCTTCTCTTTTATTGCAGCCTCTGAATGAGGATAAATTCCTGTGCTTCAGCTGCAACAATTGGCTGATCAACTGGCACTCGCTGCAGGCGCTCAACAGCAACGATGCGGAGAGCCAGAGTCGGAGTCAGAGCCCCTCCCACATGGGCAACCACAGCAGCGCCGGACTCGTGCAGCAGCAGCAGAAGGGACTTCCGCTGGAGCGGGCCAAGCTGCGGCCGGTGGCGCAGGTGCGTCCACAGCCGCAGGCGCAGATGCTCGCCCAGCCACAGGTCCAGTTGCCCGCCGCACAGATCGCGCCCCCGCCCGCCATCAGCTACAACAAGCGTCGCTTTGGCCGACGCACTGCAGCAGCCAGCAGTGGGCGTGGCAAGATGCTGCGCCATAGCAGCAGCTGTGCGTGCCGCAAGTGCCGCGACTGCGAGAACTGCAAGTGGCGGACGCTGCATCGACGCAGCCTGGTTAAGGTGGCGCAGCTGCAGCGCGCGCTGTGCCGGCAGCAGCAGCCGAAACAGTCGAAGCGGACGGAGCCGCAGCTGCAGCAGGAGCAAAGACTAGTCAAGACGCCAGCCACGCCCACTGGGCAGCCGAAGTACCAAAGAATGCCAGCGCCGCGCGTCGACGGCAAAGTGGTGGCCATGTTCCGGCGACTGGGCACCACGCTGAGCACCGAGCAGGAGTCGCATCTAGCGTCGCTGCAGGAGCCGCTGCCCACGGCGCGTCCGCCGCTGCGCATCATGAGCCCCGCCAAGCAGCGTCCACGCTGGACGCGCGCCCTCGACGAGGATGAGATTCTGCTGGAATTCGATAGCGGCATATTCGAGGTGCTGCGGGAAGCGCCGTCGGCGACCACAGCGCGTCGACGTCTGCGCTATCAGTTGAGCAGCGAGACGCAGGCAGCGGAAGTACATGCAGCAGCGGAAACGGAAGTGCAAAAGGAGCTGGAAAACCGCAAAGTAACCCACCAAAACGAGCTGAAACTTGCAGGGCTGCAATTGCCGCAGGGACTGAGCATTACGTTGATTTAAAGGCAAAACCCAAAAAAAAAACATAATAAATCAAGAACAAATGAATATTAGTCAAATTATATGCACAAACAAATGCGAGCATTAAAATAGTCTTAATTAATGTTTAATTTATATTGTACCTCGAATAAATTTGTAATTGTTAGTCAATATATTAGCGCAAACGACAAGACCTAAGAATGTTAAGTTAATATGTGTATGAACAAAAACTATATTTAATATATGTATATTAGACCTAATTGGTAAACAAAAAATGAAGAAACCCCTTAAGCCCAAACACAACCTTCCAAAAAAGCAATCGCGTTAAACTCGTAGTTGAATTTGTTTGCATTTGCCATGTTATAGCTACAAAAAACAAGAAGTATTTAAAAAATATAATATATAAATAAATATAACTAGCACAACTACAATCAAAATATGTCTGGGTTTTTATTTCAAATTTAAATTCAAATTCCTAACTGCCAAACAGTTGGGTAGCAGTGGCGCCGCTGCTCACTGTTTGCACAGCCGCGCGTTGCCAACCACTGTTACTTAACATAAACAGCTGCCTATCGATGTATTGCCAGCCAACAATATGACCGTATATCGATATACGCAGACCATGCCATGCATTTTTTCCTCTTCTGTGTCTTTTCAGTCTTCTTTTCGTTTTTCTTGCGCATGGTTCGTTGTCGTGCTCGAGTCTTGGCATTTTTGCATTAAAACGCGCTCTCGGCGCTTGAAAACCAACAAAAGTTAAACTGTTCTGCAAAGTGCAGCGTGCTTGGCTGGTAATTATGCCTAAATACATACAATTATAATTTGTGCTACGTGCTTAACTAAATTTAAATGCCAGCCATGAAAAAAATTGGTGGATATAAAAATTAAAAAGAAGCAGTAACAAGAAGTTGCTGAAAGCGAGTTGACATTGAAGAGCGCGCGTGTGTGCGTGTGTGAGTGTGCGAAATTCTTTGTTTTTATTCTTATTTAAATACGCGCAAAATTAGATTTGCGAAAAATAAAACAAATCAAGCGAAGGCAGCAACAGCAACAACAATTGCAGCTCGAGCGGCAGCGCGTGCTTTTTGATTTTTCATTAGCTGTTGCATCGCATAAAAATCAATAAAAAAGCTGGCTTTTGTTGTTGTTTCGCTGCTTTTGTCGCGCCAGGAGTTTGTCGCCACCTAACGTTTCCGTCAACAATCGGAGCGCTCGCGTCAAAGCTCGCTCGCTAGTTCGTGTTTTATTTTTGCCATATCGTGTTATCTTGTTTTTCGCCGTGTTTATTGTAGTTGAGTGCGCTCAATAAAGAATGAAAAGCAGCGTTTAAGCATTTTGCAATCAACCTAATTTTAACGCATGTTTTGTTTGTTTCTTTTATCGCCTGGCTGCAGAAGGAGTCTTTTGCCAAGCTGCATTTCGAGACAACAACAACAATAACAACAACGAAGTTAGGGGAGCATCCAACGCAGGGTAAGCAAAGTGTTGAAATAACAAAATGGCGCCGGGCAACTGTCAATTTGACAAGTTCAATAATCGAAAGTGTATTGTGTTCTCTTTTCCACGCACACTCACGCAAATTGTATAACGGTTCAATGCACCGTGCTCTGATGTCTGTTGCCGCATTTGAATTATTGCCGTTGTTGTTGTCTCCTTTTGCATGTCGTGCATTGGTGTTGTTGTTGTTATTGTCTGACGCTTTGCTACACTTCCTATCAGATGCTGCGTCAGCTGCGCGTTTACCGTTATACGGGTTTGTGACTCAAATAAATGCATTTGCTGTTGTCGTTTTTGTTGTTGCTCTTGGGCGTTTTTTGTTATTTTTATTTATTTTGGTTTTTTTCTCGTTAATTCGCCTTATTTGGCACAGTCCGCAATTTGTTTGTCTAAAATTTGCCGTAATTAAAAATCAAATTGATTTTTCCGTTTGCAAGCACACACGAATAAAACAACAACATCAGCAAAAGGCAATCAAATTGTCAGTTAGTAACTACAACAACAACAACGATTGCTGCAACAATGAAAAAGCAATTTTCGTATTAAACAGCCAGAAAAAAAACTCAGTCAAGGCATAGGCTGCTTATTGTTGCTGGTGCCGTTCGCTTGCCACACGTTTGTGCCGCATGTTGTTGTTGTTGTTGTTGTTGTTATGTGTTGCAACAATGAGCATGGCTAATTTTCGTTATAACAAAAGTTAAGTACTCGACTCTTTAAGCTTTGCCCGTTGTTAACGAAACAGTTTCTGTTGTTGTAGCTATAACAATAACAACTACAATCACTACTACAACAACAACGACGACAATGACAACAACCAAGCGAAGAAGCAACGGCCTAACAAAAAAATGTTTATTTTTCTTTCGTGCTTGTTTCTTTTGCGTGGCGCTTAGCCATTAACCAACACTATCGCAAAACAACCAATAAGAAATGATATTGCATTAGATTGGGTTTACTTTTTCCCCCCCTGTCTAAATTGGTCAATTTCTAAGCCTCTCTACTTGCTAAGATTAGCTAACATCAAATTTAAGTACTTAATATACTATTTTCAAAATTAAAACCACACGAAACTAATGGAGCTAATGCTGTATTCTTTTTATTGTAGCATATGTCTTGTTTTATTTTTAAGTTAGTAATTCCAACTAGAGCTAAAAAATTCCACTCTTCAGCTGTTAAAAATAAGTTAAGCAACTATTGCAGAATCTTTTACCTTTAAAGAAAATTACTTTCTGAGCCACAAAAACGAACACATTAAATTAGTACTTTCCCCACCGGGAAACAAATACGCAAAGACAAAAAAAACTGGTACTTCCCATACCGGGAATCGAACCCGGGCCTTCTGGGTGAAAGCCAGATATCCTAGCCACTAGACCATATGGGATTATACAATCCCTTCGAAACTAAACATATTTATTAAAAATGGTTTCCATTTATAGATTTGATAAAAGCTATTATCCTAGAATAGAAAAAGAAAAAGATTGTAATTTTACTCTGAACACAAATATCCCATATCCCATATTGTCTAGTGGTTAGGATATCCGGCTCTCACCCGGAAGGCCCGGGTTCAATTCCCGGTATGGGAAGTATTTCTGATTTATATTTTTTGCCTGAATTTTATTTTGTTGTACTTAATTTATTGTCATTTTGATTGCTTGTATTTGAATAAAGGGTGCCTTTTGATTAATGCGCTATTAATCAACTGTTTTTGGTTTCCTCTCAAACATTTCCTCAAATGGAAAAAGCCAAAAATCTCAAACAGCTTCCACTTCACTTATTGTTGACCCCTGCTGCAGCCAATTTAATTGAAGTGGCTTTTTAATGAATATCAGCTAAAAATTGCTGCCACTTATGATCCGGCTCAACGAACTGCACACAGATGGGGTTTTTTCTTCTTCTTCAAGCCCAGCTGCAGCTTAATTGCCAGCTGGAAAAACAGCCATAAAACGACTAATTCATCAAAAGTGTGGCAAGCAGCAGCCGGCGAGCCGAGATAGTAGGCCATTGTTGCAGTTGTTGTCGTTGCGCCTTGGCACGCCCACTTTTTGCTGCCTGCCACTTTCGTAGCAATTGAATTTTGTTGTCTTTCGGGCTAAAGCTTTTTTTTTTTTTGGATGCCATCATCAGCTTTGCTCGGCGTCGTCATCCCAGGCATTAGAAGCGCGTGTGAGACAATATGCGATTGAGCAAGAAGCGACAGCAGCAGCAGCAGCAGAAAAAAGGCACAGCATACAAATTAACATTTTTATAGTGGCTTTTTGTTGCCAGCAGCTCGCTCAAAGAAAGCCAAGCCCCAAGAATCGACGAGAGCAGCAGCAGCGAAGCAGCAACAAAAAAGAGACATTCAACCGTTTTTTTCCCCCTGTTTTTCTGTTTCTGTTAAACGTCAAACGTAACGCCAACGCCAAGAGACACGGCTGCGTTTTATTTTTATTGTTAAACCAGTTGAGCTGAGTTTCAGCAAGAACAAAAGAGCAACAGCAGCTGCCATCACCCTCGCACCTCCTAGCTACAGCTCCGAAGCTACGCTGACTGCATATTAAAGCTTTTTGCCTGCTGGCTACGCTGTCGCCGTCGTCGTCGCTGTCAAGCGACGATGTCTCTGTTGTTGTTTTTGTCTAAAGCTTTGTTATGCTTTGATTTTCGCTTCGTCTGCAATCCTTTACGCACAGTCGTTAATCCGCTTGTTGTGGCGACCCCCCGTTTCGTTTCCATTGCGTTGTGCCGGACTCCAATCATTTGCATATGTCATGCCAAGGCGCTTAATCATATGCAATGCATTTTCTACCTAGCAAGCAGTGTCCATTTCGTTTCCAGTGTCTAAGCGGGGCTCTAATCATTTTAATGTCATTGATGCTGGCGCTTAATTACGGACATTGCGTCTTCACAGTAAGCAGCATTCGCTTTGTTTTCATTGCCTTGCGTGGTGTAATTTTTAAAGCAAGCAGCTTTTGAACGTGCCCGTTTCATTTCCAGTTCGTTGTGCGCAAGCGGAGTATCGCATCAATTTTATGTGTCATGTAGCCTGCCACTGAATGACGTTTGATGTAATTTCGACCACATTGAACTCTCATTTATTTTATGTGTCAGTGGTGAAGGCGCTTAATTACCAACAGTCCAATTTCTATAGCAAACATGTGCCCGTTTTGTTTTCACTGCGTAGCGCACTTGTCAAGCCAAGCTCCATTACTTTTATATGTGCTACGAACATTGGGCTTTATTACCAGTAATGTAATTTAAATAGCAACACTGTTTCAATTCACGTACGATGTTATAAACAGTGCAATATTTACAGCAAGCAGTGTTCGGCTCGTTTTCATAGTGTTCCACTACAAACAATGCAAATTCTGTTTCGTCTCAACTGCGTAGCTCTTGCCTGGATCCAATCAATTTCACTTGCCATGGGCGCAGGCGCTTAATTACCTGCGATATTAGCTGCAATTTTTACATTTAAAAACCTTTGGGCGCTTTTAATTTTTCCGGCCGCCTGTTGTTGCCGCTGCCGCCTCTGTTTCTGTAACTTCTGAAGCGTGTGACCGGAGGTGAAATTTCATTTTTGATTATTTCGGCTAAGCCACAGAGCAAAACAACTGCAAGACGGCCAACTACAAACTACAACTACGACGTCAAACTGTCTAAAGCTGGCGATAAATGCGCGCAGATACTTTTGCGTTTTGGCGTAGTTTGGCCGCGTTTGCGATTCGAATTTGTATTCGATGCTGCCGCTTTAAATGGACAACTGGGAGTGGGTCACACAGCTGCAGACTATGCTGCAGCAGCAGCAACAGCAGCAGCTGACGGCAGAGACCAACGTAGCGATTATAGGGATGCGGATGGATACCCACAGACACAGACACGGACACACAACGGCCAGAGACACAGAGCCAGATCCACACTGGAGAGCCTCAGAGACTCCCAGACCGGTTGGCGCGATCTTTTGCTCGTTCGTTCATTCGATCGCGTTGCGGCATTTTCGATTCTTTGCTTAAAGCGTAAATATTTCAATTTATTTATTGGTCATGCGTCTCTTCGATACCACTTTCTACCCGCTTGTCTGGCAGATATATCTACATGTGTCGTGTCTTGACCAGCCCCGGATTTAACTCACACACGCAACCAACTTAAATCTGTGTCAACGGCCTTTGACTTGTGAGCGGCGGCCCTTCTTGTAGTTGGGCCCCCGCCGCGGGCTGCCACAACAGACAGTGGGCGTGCCGCCAGAGTCTTCTCATATGCGCATTTTCACGAACATGAAAATGAAATGAGTGAAAACGCTTTGCACTTTTTCTCGTCTCGTCGTCTGTGTCGCCTCAGTCTGCGCAAACAAAGCCAAAGAGGTGTGTACGACAATTTCAACTGCAGGCCATGCATGACCCGCGTGTATTATTCCCCCAAGGGGGAGGCGTGGGGCAGACACTAGGCATGGCTAGTTGTTGTCTGATTGCCATGCTAAATGGCTGAAGAGAAAACTATGGCAACGGACAGCTCAATACCCAATACTCCCATAAAAACAAATCACGCCGAGCTGTCTGATCGAAAGTTCCTTACTTCATGATACCCTGTTTTCAAGTAACTTCAAGTAATCTAAAAGACCAATGAGCATTAAATCAAACAGTTTGTTGAGGATTTCCTTATTATTCTTTTTATTTATCGCATAATTATATCAACCTTCTTCTCTGGTTAAGACGTCCAAACCCTAGAATAAGTTTCGAATCCGGATCCTCCTTAGCCAACTCATCTAAATAAAAATGTTTATAATATACCAATTAATCATTATAATCAGTTTAAGACACCCCTTAGTTAGTATGCGTGCAGGGTGTTTAAAAAGATTTAAAAAAAACTGTTGCCTGTCGCAATGAAATTTACACGTTTTCTAGCTGCACCTCACGACAAGTCAAACCGTTTGGACTCCAACTTGGAGTCGAGAAACGCAGAACTAAAAGAAACGTAGTGCGTGAGGTTTTTTAATGGATTGCCCGAAG